ATTACTAATGATGCATTACTGAAAAAAAGGTAAAAATGTTTGACAAGTCAGGAACACAATAAGCACACACAGCTGACAAGAGCCAAGGCCTGAATCATACTATCTGTAGAAAGCCACATCCTGACAGAATCTTTTCACTTACAACCTCTGAAAAGAGAAAACAGGTAGCAGATGAATCGTTAATTCAGTAAGGTCGACCTAAAAACACTTAAGGCAGGCACTGCATTGTCACTAAAAGCATGTTCCCACCACTTGGCGCTAAAGGGAAAAGATTGAAAATGATTAGGAAACTGAAAATTGGGACTTTAAATATTCATTTACACCAGAAACCAGGACATATTAAGAAATTACGCTTTTATAGACATGAAAGAACAAAAAACTTGGATTAGTAACCAAAGTAGACTAGTTTTATGGCTTACTTTATTGGAAACCTAAGAACATTTTGGTTTTTAAACAGTTATTTCATGAGAAATAGATACTATTCACTCTTTGGATCCAGCCTACATAACTCAAAGCCTCTAAGCCTCGTTCATCCCAATGTCTGTGCTGGGAATGCCTTCCCCACTTTCTCTGTTCACCTAATCCCACTCTCTATAGCCCAGCTCCTCTCACCACCTCCCTGGAGCCTCCCCAGTTCCTGCAGCCCACAGAGATGCATTGCTCCAGACTGTAGCACCTGCTGTATAGTCATTTGTTGAAGATCTTTTTAACGGATATAAAGGCAGCTTTTACAATCAGAATTAGATATTTTTTAAGGACTAAAGAACCTATACACCAAATGAACATTTCCACATTTATATGTATAAATTTGTAATTTGGGATCCCCAAGGAAAATATAGAAAAAGAGCCCCTTTACCTTTCCTTTTGTGTTCTGACTGTACACCGTGTAGCATGCCTGGTTATAACTCCCCAACCAAGCACTGAACCTGTGACCCACACACTGGCCCTTTACGTTTCGTATTGCAAAGACTGTCATGCAAAACAAGGATGCCTGGACAGTTTCTAGCTCCAATGTCCAGGATTGCAAACCATGAATACTTTAATACAGCCTGGGGATCTGAGCAGATCTAGCAGATGTGCATGGAGAGACATCTTGGGATCAAGTCAACATCCTAGATGATTTAAGACCTTCGAACTTACAAAACTTTAGAAATGTAAGCCTGTTCCTCCAAGTGCGAACAAGACTGACTTTAAGATTCCTAAAGTATAAAACAAGTGTTTCATAGGCATGAGCTGATGGAACATTAACAATCAAAACTCAACAGTAGGAGTTTAAAAGTAAGAGGAGCAAACGTCCATCAGTTTGAACTGGGGTGAGATTACACCTGTATTTTCACTAACCTCTATGAGAAATTTAGCATTTCTCTATTGCAAATACAGGCAACAAACCACAGTACTACTAGCATTACCTGCCCCTTTGACTCTATCTGAATGACAGATTTTTTTGTACCATATGACAGTTGTTGCAGACATCTCAAAATAACATTGATATTTATCACTACTTCCAAGTTATGGCAGTTACTAAAATTGCCACTAGATCCCTTGTGATTACAGTCTTCTCATCTGGTATAATGAGGAAGGACCACAATCTGGCAAGCCTCTACCCTCAAGCAATCATTCAGTTACCAAATGGTGAAGGCTCACAGTGGTAGTCCCCAGGTAACTATGATGTGCCTTTGTATTCTCCACTTACAAGTGTTAATCAGACACAACCCAAGGACCAGGATCTTATGCAAACTAAATAAAAACAGTCCTCATGTCGACGTCTTTAGAAAATAAAATTTAGGTTTCACCTTCTAAATGAATGATCTTGCTAGATATATTAACAAATTCCCCATATATTCATTCATTAAGTTAGTCATTCAGACAGCAAGTATTTATTGAGTACCTACTAAAATAAAATTAGTTTGAGTCATCTAAAATAAAATGAAATTATGTTGAGTCATCTAAAGTTCTCAATATTTTGACTGTGTTTGACTTACCTAAATAGCAATTTCAAACAGTTCAATCTAATACTTGTTGGGCCCAACCTATAAGCCCACTAATAAAAAGGACAGTCACGAAGTAAAAGAAGATCTTGAATCAGAAAGATGGATGCCTGAAGAAGAAGTTAAATTTTTGGAGAAATAGCTAAGAGGCAGCACACAGAAAAAGTCACAAAAAGGCAAAGTGCCCAGAGGGAATTATCCATTTAATTATCCTGAATGAGAATGACCCAAATACATTAATAATAACAAATCTCTATTATTTTCTATGACCTAACAGTGATGAAAAGCCTTTCCCCAAAGCTTTACTAATGCTTCAGTAATTTTTTCTAATTAAACAATAGAATCTTCTGTTGTATTATAAGAAATATACTTTAAAATCAATATTAAATCCAGCAAGAATAATGCCTTAACACTTGTATGTCACTTTATAATTTAAAGGTAATTTTATACACATTATTCTACTTGATTCAGCCTGGCAGATACTATCCCCACTTTTCAGATGACATAGCACATGAATCCTAGTGGACTTACATAGAACCTTAAACTAATTTTTAAGTCAGATTCTCTCTTTACTCTCTGTGTCATGTAATATATTAAAGACGGCAAAATATCTAAGAGTTCCAAAATCGTGGAAATCTAGGTCAAAATCTCAACCTATCACTTAATCTCTATGCATCCCTAAGGAAGTTCTTTAATATCTGTGGGACTGAGCTTAATTAAGTGGAAATAATAACATCTTCAGTTGTTACTGTTAAATGGGATATGGCAGTTAAAGCCCTTACCATCACCTATAGCAGCTACACTTAGCACTATCTTCATTTATATTTTTGTGAGAATCCAGCAGTTAAGAAACCTGACTCATCTAAAAGAACTTGAGAAAGCCATGTGTCTCAATAGACAGCACAGGCTATAGAATTCTAATGGCCTGTCCCACACTTACTCAAACAACTTATCATTATCATCACTCTATCATCCTAAAGGCTTTGGAGAAAATAACCAATGTCACAGAGTTGGGAGACCTACTTTTCTTAGGTATCTAAAAATTTCAAAATCTCCTATGTAAGGAGCTCTGATCAAGACTTGATTAAGAGCTACCTGTACCATCTAGGGCTGATGTTCACTCATGAGCCCAGAAACAGAGCCTTATCTCATTTCACATAGCTGATGGTCACACCAAAAAAAGATCCCAAATTAGACCATGTATGGAGGCTAAAACCAGAGTCAGATAACACCAAAGGAAGGACACTGGGTAAAAGAGGATAGGAGTAAAATAAAAGAGAACTAACTTCCAACCTGAAGGCAAAGGGTCAAAAGCAGGCTTGCTGTTACTTACTCCTGGCTTACCACCTCCTCATCCTCTGAGGATGATGCTGTTTCCTCCAGGTCCCGGGCCATCACAACTGGCATTTCCTTTAGAGTTTGTCATGCAGTCAGCAGACGGGGGCCTCAGAGACCTTTCCTTGCACATTCACTGGATCAAACAATTTGGGTGGCACAGATTCCTGCAAGAGAGACAAAGGATCTGAAACGTAACACAGCTGTCTTTTTGTTCATTATTGATGGTGATCTTTTATGTAATTAAAATGGATATTTATCTAAACAGGGTTCAGCCTCTAGAAGCTTACCTTTTTTTACAGTGCCTCACATATGGCACAATGATCGAGATTTTTTTTTTTTAAACATACTATCTGTCCTCTGTGTATTTGAAGAGCAGCTATTAAGTTTCTTGTGTTTCTTTTACATACTAAATCTAATGTGCACCAAAATGATAGGCTTATTTAACTTTTAGGAAAATCTGAGATAACGCGGCTGATTGCCTAAAAAACATAGGTTTCTTGCTAGCAAAACCTGATATGAGCTAAAATGAAAAACGCAAGTTGTAAGATCATTCCAAATATTTCTTTAGACTCTATGACAAGCATAGGTAAAATAAGATCATGATTCCACTGAAATAAATACAAGCAAAAAATGAATATATTCTGCTGAATCAAGGTTATAAATAGCTGGAGGGGGCAGGGGAAACTGTCCTTTCAAAAGCTCTCAAAAATTATTCTTCCTTACTGAAAATCACAAACTATGATCCGAATATCAAATAGAAATTAAAATTAGCCTATTTCTAATTAAAATACTTTAATAAAGAAAAAGTACATTTCATTGTGTTTGAGGATGGACTAGAAATAACAGATAAGAAAATGTTTGAATGACCATAATCCTATTACTCAAAGATTACTATTCAATGTTTCCAAACCTTATTTTTCTGTGTGTTAACATATGTGATAACCTAAATGGGGGCGAGGAAAGCCAGTTCCTACAAGGATCCCCTACACATGTTCAGCGATATGGGCAGTATGGAACAATCTCAAGGCTTTCTTCTGAGTATCCCCGACAGGATTTCTCAGGATTTCCCCAAATGTTGGGAAGTCCCTTAAATTCATACAAAAGAAACTAAACCTCCAAGCGACGAACGGATGCCAACCTGTCCTAGGCTGCGAGCTGGGCAGGAAGAGACGGGGCGATCGGAAGGTTGAGGGCAATGGCCCGAGGAGTGTCCTCTCCCTACAGGGATCAGGCTCTCAGATCCACCCATGGCTCAGCCCATCCCAGGGAGGTCCTCAGATGCTCCCCACGGAAAGGACGCGGGGAGCCGCAGCCGCTGCGATTCAGCCCAGCGCGCCCGGAAGCCAACAGCTGTTCCCGGACAAGGAGAGGGAAGCGCAAGGGCCGGCGCCCGCCCGGACTCGGGGGCGCCCCTCTCTCCGGGGAGTAGGGCGCGGGCGCAGGCCTTTACCTGTTTCATCTTCCCATCGCTCGGGGCGGGCAGGCGGGGACAGCGAGCGCTCTGCGCCTACCTCCCTCCTCCTTCCCCAGCCGGGCTCAAGGCCGCAGCCGAAGGCGGCTTCCCCCGTTACTACAACAACCAACCAGCAACCGCCCGCTCGGGCCCACTGCGCAGGCGCCCGCGCCCTGGCGCGGAGGACGCTTGGCTTCAGGCACGTACAATTGTCGTCATCGCCGCGCCGAGTGGGCACAGGGCTCTGCTCTCCACGGAAGTCTTGACTTCCTTTTCCCTCTCTTTCCCCCTCCGCCGCAAAAAGATTGACTCCGAGCCTGGAGTTGTTTCGCTGTGCTCAACAGGAAGGTTCACTGCAAGGGCGGTGTGCTGGGGGTGAGGTTTGCTGAGCGGCAACCGCTGATTGGCAGTAAAGGGCTTCACGCCCCATCGCCTGCTCGAGCATAACCTAAACAGCCAATCAGAACGAGGACTGATGGCAACAAACCAATCCTGGAGCCGGGCTGAGAGTGGGGGCGGGGACAAGTGGCTCAGGTAGACTCAGGTCTGGAACTGTGCCGGGGCAGCATTTGCTGCTGCTACTGCTGTGCTGACAGTGCTGGCGCCAGGTAGGGTGAATGTCGGGGGTGTGGGGAGAGGCGGATCTGTGTGGCTTCTAATGGAGAGGATCCGCACAGCCTGAAGCAATGGAGATGGGGCAGAAGGAAGATACCCGGGAGGCAACCTTGTGGGGGGAAAAGATTTCAGGGACCAAGAGAAGAGGGAGCTGGGAAAATGAAGAAAGCTTGGTAGGTACAGAACAGGTGAATCGATGAACGAATGGGGTCCACTCTGAGCGTGGCACAATACGAGGAACCTTTGCTTTCTAAAGTAATGCTTATAATAACTCTTGGAATAGGTCATTTTAATCTCCATTTTACAGGTAAGGAAACCTAAGCTGTAAAGTGTAAATTACTTCCCCACGGTCACAGCTACTGAAAAGTGAGACCAGGAAAGGAAACTCTCTCTCCCGACTCTACTAAACCACACCTTTGCTGGCCTGGGCCTGGGTAAATTTTGAGAACAGATGTTGGATACTCTCACAGGCCCTCAAAAGCTTTGAGGAAGTCGTGCTGAGGGACTGGCAGAGCAGTTTGGAAGAGTGCTCTGGCTCTGCCTTCATCATCTATCTTCTGGAGTTTCTGAGAATTTCTGTGAAATGGTCATAAGTTTTCTCAAAGAGGGAGGTCATCCATACAGCTTTTCTGACCCTGAGAGCCTAAGTCTCCTAGTGAGGCACGGTGAGAAATCAATATGGTAGGGGAAGTGGAGGGTGTGTATCTTGGTCCATGCTGCAGCTGCTTGTGATTCCGTTAGAGCTTCATTCTCTCTGGACTTTGACAGAGTCCAGTTTTGTGACCCATTTGCACTGAGGGGTTCATCCACTGACCCTTCTATCTCTGGAACTTGCTGTGTTTTTTGGTGCATCACACTTCTGCCTTTACTGACTTTAATATTTATTTCAGCTGAGTAATGTAGGACCATGCCAAAAGGCCTACTGTCAAAGTGACAAAGGAAACCTGATAATTTATCGCCACTTAAGGCTCAAGATATTAACCAGACAATCGATAAACCATGGGTCACATACCAAAGATGAGAAGAAGCAATTCCATGATTAGATTTTTATCTACATGGTTTTTATTTAAACCAAGATGATTGAAATCTGTGCTCAGCAAGGGTTGATTTAACATTTTGTTCAGTTTTTTAAATAAAAAGTACATAGCCTGATGGTATTTTCTATACCACTTGAAGACAGGTGGCTATGGTTTGCTTATCTCTCACAGAAATGGAAACTTCATCAAAATATGCTCAGTGAGACATCTTAGAGACCAATACACCATGCTTTTTCTCTTTACTGTTTCATCCATAGACTGTGTAACCTTAAGCAAGTCACTTAACATCTCTATGCCAGCCCTCATCTATAAAGTGGAAATATTAACAGTGTCTCCCGACCTTGTTTAAGGATTAAATGAGATAATATATGATAGGTGCTTGGCACAGTGCATGGCATATACAAGTACTCAATAACTGTAGATTCTTCTGCAACCCAACACTAACATTGCTGTTTCCTTCTCCATCTAATTTTCTTACTATTTCACAAGTCACAACAATTTATTAATTTGTAACTTTTATTTTGTTCTCCTAATTTATGAAGCATGATGTTCCTGAAAACCAAAGTATAGAAAAGTTAAAGCATGTAAATAATGCCTTCAAACCATACATGCCACTCAGACATAGAAGGCTTGTCTGTGCTTGGAAGGATTGGTCACCAGTAGCCAGGCAGGTATCTATTAGTAGATTTATAATCACCTTTGAGCTACTTGCAGTACAAAAGGTTGAAATGAAACACCAAGTTACAAATAAAGATCCCAGGGGACTAATTCTAGCCAAGAGAAGAGAGTTCTGATTTAGGCTAATATTTTGGAGAAATTCCTTAGATAAACGTAAGCATGGGGCTACTTATTTCAGAGTATACTGTTGATTCACCACTATTAGTACGATGAAATATCAAGACGGATTTCTGTAAGTCTTACACCAAAGTCCATTTTATTTATTTATAGTGATGTTTGGTCACTTCCCTCTCTTCTGTTTCCTTTCTTTCCATTTTCCCACTGGGTTTGTCATTTCCACCCACTGCATTATTGAACCTTTTTACTCTGGTCAGCACACTTTGATTTAAGGTAGATATTCAAAGGCAGTGTGCCAGCCCTATGAAGGGTGCATGGAGATAGATGAGCCTCAGGTATTTGGGAGAGAAGTTTATGAAATGGCTGATGAAATAAGATTAGTACAGCCCTCATGAGTGGGACACAGGTTAACTGCAGAGCTTACGGTTGAAGCACATTAACCATCTGTTTAATGTCTTGCCCTTTGCTTTGTTTCCAAGGCAAGAAGCCCTTTCAGGTTGGAGGGGAGCCATGAGCCGATTCCTGAACATGTTACGAAGCTGGCTGGTGATGGTATCCATCGTAGCCGCAGGGAACTCGCTACAGAGCTTCCGAGACCACACCTTTCTCTATGAAAAGCTTTATACCGGCAAGCCAGACCTGGGTAAGAAAGCAAACACCTCCATCCTTTGTGGGAATGGCTTAAATGGTATACCACACTTGGGTATACATCACAATAACTGTGAAAAACCAAAACCTAACAAAGCACAGGAGGCCATTTCCCTCTCCAGACCTAATTACTGAACATTTCACCCCCCGGATGGGTCACAGAAGTTCTTCTTAGAACCTTCCCAGGTGATTCTGATGCTGCCTAAGCTAAGAAGCCTAAGGCACTAGAGGAACAGACGTGGTGGATAACACTTGGTCTTTTCTCCCCTCAAGCTTCTCTGATCACCTTTCCCTTCATTTTACGCTGCCCTCGGCAGCTGATCTGTACAAATACCATTACAAGGACAAGTGAGGAAATGAGTTCCTTGATGACTCTGCTGCCTGATAGGAAACCATGAAGAAGGTTTTCCTGTTAGCTTCTTTCAGAAATCAGGTTATGGAGCATATTGTTTATACCCTACATTGCATATGGAGAATTGCTAAGCCAAGGTCTTCTCAAACCATGACACAGACCCTGAAAAGATATCCAAAATCCCTCCAGGTTGATTTCGAAAAGAGAACTTCTGCAGGCCCCTGATGGCTTTCCCCAGTGTCCTAAGTCTCTCTGTAGAGAGTGGTTGCACATTTCAGCGTGTGCTTCCTTGCTCTGATACGTGGGGTGGCTTCAGCTGCAGCACCATTTCATAGTAGCGACAATTCTATGTCACATTTATAGGTAACCCAGATTCAGGCTCTGACCTAGCTCATTTTTCTGCAACATCTGGTAAATAGGCTAAGCCTCACTTTGAACAAAGCTCAGGTTCAGTAGGCTTAGAGACCCTGGAAAAGTGGGTGGAAGAATTCCACTTTTCACCCTCCAGTGCTGTCCTCCGGTGGTCCAGGAACTCTATAGATTCACAGGTTTTTAGAGGTCATCTCACCTAGCCCTTTGACAGAAAAGTCCAGGGGTTTTGTGATGTGATTTGCTGAAGAGCATATAGCTGAGCAGAAGTGCGTTTGTTAGCTTGTGCATGCATGCACACACAGCCCGGAAATAGGTCCCTTGGGACCTCATGGTACTTTGCTGGGGATAGCAGGACCCTGGAGCATCCAGTAGAAGAATTTTACCTGAGGCCTACTCTGGTTAGGATTACTGAGATACTCCATTTGTATATCTCATCCTTAGTGAGATGTATATAAATAGAATAGAGATATTTCCTATCTTTCCATCAGAAGAGCTATCAAAATGCTTTATAAAGAGTGTAAAAAGAAAAAAAGTATATAGCCCTCCAGGACTGACTTCCCTGGTGGCTCAGACGGTAAAGCGTCTGCCTGCAATGCAGGAGATCTGGGTTCGATCCCTGGGTCAAGAAGATCCCCTGGAGAAGGAAATGGCAACCCACTCCAAGATTCTTGCCTCGAAAATCCTGTGGACCGAGGAGCCTGGTGGGCTACAGTCCACGGGGTCGCAAAGAGTTGGACATGACTGAGTGACTTCATTTCACTCCAGGACTAACCGTTAAATATTAGTTTGTGATATGGGATTTTTTTCTCAAAATGACTACCATCTAAAGATCTTTGGGGTTATGAATTTGGTGTTGCTGTCTGGTTTTCCAAAGGCTGAAAAATTCTTAAAGGAAAATCCTGAAAGACATTTCAGTTGTGAGTCTTGTCCCTCAAAATTTCTCTTACTCAGGAGACCAGCAAAGGAAGTATCTTTGCTTTTCACCGTAGATCAACGCCGGTACATTAAAATCAACAAGGCAAGGCTTTCGAAAATACCAGGGGGGTTTCGGCCTACCTCCAGAGTATACGATTTCACTGATCTGGTATCCAGGTCTTGGTAATTTGATAAAATTTCTTCAGTTGATTCTAATATATGTCCGGGCCAAGAAGCACTGTTATGATGGACTATGATTTAAGCTCTCTGGACAAGAAATTTAACACAGCAGTGCCAGAATGAAGCTAACAAGAGCAGAGAAGCCCTGGCTAACACCAGTACTTTGTTCCCTTCCCACACACACAGGAAACCAGCCTAGTGAGGGCTTCATTCACATAATATAGATCTGAATTCAGAAGATCCAGGGACCTGGGTCTCTTAAAGACCAGATGTGGCTCTCTAGACAGGGCTCAGTATTTCTGCGTTCTCTCCTGCATCAGCCTCACTGAAAGTGTGCTGTCCTCCTAGGCATCTTGTATTGACAGACCTCTTTCCACCGTGTTCCTCCACACTTACTCTGATTCAGACTCACTTGCTTCACCAACACCAGAGCAGCTTCCAGGCAGAGCCATAAACCACTAACCCAGGAGTTACTGCTGAAGTAGGCTGTTTGTTGGGTTTCTACTCTTGGAACTCGCCTGCCCAGCGTTGGAAGAGGAGCTGAACCAGTTCTCCTTCCGGAGTTCTTTCCATCCCTTCTAGTTCCCACGTGCAGCATCAGAGCCTGTACTTGGCCCAGCCAAGGGGATCTCAGGCTCAGTTCTCTGACTCCTCCAGTGAAGTTGGAGGAGTTTGGAGGGAACCCTGACCCACCCTTCTCAACACTCCTGATTTTTTCTTCTGCACAGTGAATGGCCTCCAAGCTCGTACCTATGGAATCTGGACGCTGCTCTCATCAGTGGTTCGCTGCCTCTGCGCCATCGACATTCACAACAAAACGTATGTAAGGGAGGGAACAGCATCTCCCTGTGTTGGCAATGGGTGCTAAGCAGAGCCATTGTGTTCCTCCCTCGGAGACTTATTTATCAGTGCCGGTACATTAAAATCAACAAGGCAAGACTTTAGAAAATACCAGGGGTCCCTGGGCCCATCTGCAGAGTGAATGATTTAAATTATCTGGTATCCAGGTCTGGGTAATTTGATAAAATTTCTTCAGTTGATTCTAATAAATGCCCAGGATCAAGAGGCAGTTATGATGGACTGTGATTCCATCATATGGCCTACGATTTGATACAGTAACCTAGGATGTGAAGATAAAAGATTACTAGGTACCATTCCTTCCAGGGCTAGAAAACATCACAGGCCTGAAGGTCTTTAAAGCTTAACAGTTCTTTGAAACAGACACAGCAGACTGGTTATGTTGTGATCCAGTGGCCTGCATCATATCCCTCTACTTCTTTACTAACGAGTCAGCCTTTCTTCTTCTAAAGAGGTAGTGTGCTTGCTCTTTTTAGAGAGGCCATGGCATGCCTATACTCACATTCCTCCTTGAGAAGCAGGGATGAACAGAAATCACGATCCATGATGTCATGAGCCCACCAGTAAACGGCTGTTTACAGAGTCATGAAGGGAAGGTCACAGAGAACCGAGCACCCCTCTGTATTCTGCCTCTTCAGAGGACTCACACAGACTGCGTGCGTGTGTGCACAGTCATATCCAACTCTTTGCGACCCCATGGACTGTTGCCCACCAGGCTCCTCTGTCAGTGGTATTTTCCAGGCAAGAATACTGGAGCGGGTTGCCATTTCCTACTCCAGGGGATCTTCCTGACCCAGGGTAGGATCAAACCTGCGTCTCTTGAGCTCCTACATTGGCAGGCAGATTGTTTACCTCTTTGCTTCCTGGGAAGCCCCTCATACAGACTGCTGCTGCTGCTATGTCACTTCAGTTGTTTCCAACTCTGTGAGATCCCATAGAGGGCAGCCCACCAGGCTCCTCTGTCCCTGGGATTCTCAGGCAAGAGTACTGGAGTGGGTTGCCATTTCCTTATCCAATGCATACATGCCTGCTAAGTTGCTTCAGTCCTATCCGACTCTGTGGGACCCTATAGACAGCAGCCCACCAGGTTCCTCTGTCCACGGGATTCTTTACGCAAGAATGCTGAAGTGGGTTGCCATTTCCTTCTCCATCATACAGACTAGTGTGGAACAATTGCAGGCAGTCTCAGCCCCTGGGCTAGATAGTGTTGTAATCGGAACTGGCCACTGGAGAGGGCTCAAGCTTTCTTCTCAACCCCAATCATCACCACAATCAGGCTGGAAAGTTTGCTCAGGTCCCGAGGTAAGGCCACCAAAAGAACTTCATACCATAATACTTTTATGTTAGCCAGACTCTCAGCATCTGGGCAAGAGAGGAGATGGTGATATTTATTGAGACCCTCTTATTATACCAGATGCTTTCCACATGACACTGATTCAGTCTCCTAGTAGCCCTGGGAAGCAGTGATTTTTGTTGCTGATTCTGTAGATCTGCGTATTAGAGACTCAATTCATTTAAACTGAGAAGACTAGGACAAGTGGGATTTGAGGGCTATTAGCACTGTGATCTCTCCAGCTTTATTTTTTCGTATTTTTGAACCTGAAACTATGGACTACTTGTTCTAGATTGACATGTATTTTTGGAAGCAGCGTGGTTTAGTGGAAACACTCTGAGGCCCAAGAATGAAAACTGGAAAATAGGCTCTGGTCTCATTTCTACTGGTAATAGCTTTGAAGCAGCAAGTTTATCATAGACCTTCTCTGCATCTCAGTCCCTTCATGTATAAAATGAGACTCGTGTATCTGTTTTTTTCTCTCAGGGTGACTGGGAGGGAGTAAGGACTGCATAATCATTTTAATGACCTTTACCACGTTGAAGAATTACTGACAAGTAGAAAGGGTGTATCTTTTGTTTGTTGTGCTTGGGGGATGAACAGGGACAGCTGAGACTTATCTTTACCTCTCTTACCCATTCACTTCCCCTTCACCCAACACAGGACAGCTGGAAATGCTGACTTCTATTTCCAGCTTTTATTTAAAGCCTGGATTTTTTAACCGTGTGCTTCTGATATGCTCTCTGAATATATTCCCTCCCTAACCAGAAACTTGAAATCAATTCCCAGCTTTCTCACTTTCTGAAACAGTCTGCATTCTGCCTATTTAATTGGTATTTCTGTAAATAAGCCAACTTTCACTTGAAAGAAAAAAGACATCCAGGAAGCTTTAGCTGAAATCTGTAATATTTTATTTCTTAGAAAAAAAGTATCTGAAGCAAAAATGTCAAGATACTGAGATTTGATGGAGTAGGGTATTGGTTGTATAGGGTTAAATTCTATTATGAATGATTTTTTGTATGTTTGAAGTATTTCATAATTTTTAAATTTCATAGTTAAAGAAGATACCAGCTATCAAAGTGGTCCATCTTCCTATAACTTCCGTCTTCTCCACCTCCTTGTCAAAACTGAGGAACAAGTTCTCTTTCTGTGAGGTTGTCACTGTGTCCTCCATCTGACCATTTTGCTAGGTTAAGATGCAAAGTATCTTAAGATGCAGCCCATGTTGCAAAATCATCTAAAAGTCCCAGAAAGGCCCCTGCTACCCATTCCACATTCATGCCCTTCATTCGGTGGCATCCATCAGATGAGCACTGACCAGCCCCTGGCCAGACACATGCAAAGCGGGCTTGGACTAGTGTCAAGTCAGTTGGAGTAAGTAAAATACATAAGTGTGATTGATCCAAAATTGTCTACACTACCTAGGATTGCCATACTCCAGACTCTGCTATTACTGGCTTCACCACCTGGCTAAGACTTGCAAAGCCACTCTGGATGGCTGGGTCATTCTCCTCTCAATTTAGCAGTTGAAGGCTTCGGTTTTGCCCTAGAGGTGAATAAATTTGATGTGATCTAGCAACTGCCAGCTGTGAGGTCTCACAGAGTTGGACACAACTAATGCAACTTAGCAGCAGCAGCCAGGTCTTTCTCAGGACCAAGTCTCCTTTTTCTTTAGCCTAGTCATTTCCTGGGTTTTGATTTGTGTGTTTCAAGTCTGACTACTTCCTCTGCACTGAATAAGTTGTACCTACAGTCCCGTTTCTGTCTGCTCCCCCGTAGGCTCTACTACATCACTCTCTGGACATTCTTCCTCGCAATGGGGCACTTCCTCTGTGAGTTGTTTGTATTTGGGACTGCGGCTCCCACGATTGGTGTCATGGCACCCCTCATGGTGGCAAGTAAGTATTCAGTGACTCTGGAACTCCCACAGGAGCCATCCCAACCCGAAGGACAAGCCTTATACAAGCAATATAAGAAAGCACGGTGCTTGTGTCAGCCACTAATCCTGTCTGTCTGTATTTAAGGTATCTCGATCCTGGGCATGCTAGTGGGGCTCCAGCACCTAGAAGCAGAACCAGGATCCAGACAGAAGAAGAGAAACTGAGGCCAACATCACCATGTCCAAGACGTCACCTCCCGCCTTTGCTCACCTCTTCCTTCTCTATGCTCTTCAGTTTCGTTTCTGCTCCATCATCCACTTTTAGCCTTTCACATTTGGGGTTTTTTTTTCTTTAATTAAAAATTTTTTAACATATCATGTGCATACAGAAAGTCAGTGCCATTGAAATGTATGTAAAGAATCAAATTCTCCAAGCCAGGCTTAAGCAATACGTGAACTGTGAACTTCCAAATGTTCAAGCTGGTTTTAGAAAAAGCAGAGATCAAATTGCCAATATCTGCTGGATCATCGAAAAAGCAAGAGAGTTCCGGGAAATCATCTATTTCTGCATTATTGACTATGCCAAAGCGTTTGACTTTGTGGATCACAATAAACTGTGGAAAATTCTGAAAGAGATAGGAATACCAGACCACCTGACCTGCCTCTTGAGAAACCTGTATGCAGGTCAGGAAGCAACAGTTAGAACTGGACATGGAACAACAGACTGGTTCCAAGTAGGAAAAGGAGTACGTCAAGGCTGTATATTGTCACCCTGCTTATTTAACTTATATGCAGAGTACATCATGAGAAACGCTGGGCTGGAAGAAGCACAGGCTGGAATCAAGATTGCCAGGAGAAATATCAATAACCTCAGATATGCAGATGACACCACCCTTATGGCAGAAAGTGAAGAGGAACTAAAGAGGGTCTTGATCAAAGTGAAAGAAGAGAGTGAAAAAGTTGGCTTAAAGCTCAACATTCAGAAAAACAAAGATCATGGCATCTGGTCCCATCACGTCATGACAAATAGATGGGGAAACAGTGACTTTATTTTCCTGGGCTCCAAAATCACTGCAGATGGTAACAGCAGCCTTGAAATTAAAAGACGCTTACTCCTTGGAAGGAAAGTTATGACCAACCTAGATAGCATATTAAAAAGCGGAGACATTACTTTGTCAACAAAGGTCTGTCTAGTTAAGGCTATTGTTTTTCCAGTGGTCATGTATGGATGTGAGAGTTGGACTATAAAGAAAGTTGAACACCGAGGAATTGATGCTTTTGAACTGTGGTGTTGGAGAAGACTCTTGAGAGTCCCTTGGACTGCAGAGAGATCCAACCAGTCCATCGTAAAGAAGATCAGTCCTGGGTGTTCACTGGAAGTACTGATGCTGAAGCTGAAACTCCAATACTTTGGCCACCTGATGTGAAGAGCTGACTCATTTGAAAAGACCCTGATATTGGGAAAGATTGAGGGGCAGGAGGAGAAGGGGATGACAGAGGGTGGTTGGATGGCATCACGGACACAATGGACATGGGTTTGGGAAGACTCCGGGAGTTGGTGATGGACAGGGAGGCCTGGCGTGCTGTGGCTCATGGGGTCACAAAGAGTTGCACACGACTGAGCCACTGACTGAAAGAATCATTTTAGAATACTGTACGTCTGTCCAAATCAAGGAACTGCCAATATATCTGAAGTCCACTGTGTGCCCTTCCCTCACCCACAGCCTCTTCCAGCAATGCTTTTCCAGCCTTCTCCTTTTTTCATTTTTTTTTTTTTTAACTGTCGACTTGACTTGTATGGTTGGAAGACGCAAACTGTGAAACTTCAAGCTGCTACTTTGCCCAGAGCATTGCCACCAAGGGCTGCTTTGAGTGGTTGTCCATCCAGGTTGGGTTTCTCTCTGCTGCCAGACCCAAGATCCTGAACCATCTGTGAGACAAGCAGTTCTTCTAAGAAGGGCTCCCCGGCCAGTGAGCATGACCCCTTCCTTGCGCCTACAGGTGGATCAGGGTTGGAAGGGACTGGGATAGTTTTAGACCTTCCAGTCACCTGTATTTGTGTAATGAGACTTGTAATAAATAGAGGAACCTTCTGCTCTGATCAGTCCTGGTACTTTGGCCTCCCCTAAGCCCAGAGTGCTCCTGCCCTCCTCTGAGGCCTAGCGGAGGAAGATCCCAGCTTTCTGCGGGTCAAATACACTATAATGAGTGGGACAGCACAAGACCCAGGCAAACCTGGCTGCCTTTAGTCTCTTGTTCATTTCTCATGAAGTCAAATCTTCCTCATCTCTATCCACACCTTCCAAATTCTGAGCACACAGCTGAACAGCCAGAACCCTCTCTTGTTTTCTTCGCAAAGAAGAAACAGGTTCTTGAGAAAGCAGAACCAGACAACATGGAAGACACAGCTGCATGAGCATGAAGAGAGCCTGGGGCAGACGGCTGCCATCCAGACAGCCCTGAGCACCTCCACACTGGCCAGACCCTCACACACAGTGTGCAGAGGCGAGAACCCATTCGCTACTTCAGCGAGTGTTTATTGAACACTTACTCCATGCCAGACACTTGGGAAGGAAAAATGAATGAGCCAGGCAATGTCCCTGTAGTCAAGAAACAGACTGTCAACAAGCCCACACCTGGAAGAACACTCCAGGCAGTGATGAGAACTCTAGGTAACCAGGTACTGTGATTCGGAAGGGGAGGGAGTGCACAACATAGATCACTGGGAAAAGCCTCTCTGAGGAGGTGGGATCCGAGTTGAATCACAGAGCTCATGTGTCTTAATATGTGAGGCAGTATTTAGGGCAGATGGAGCAGCACTTGGTCTTGTTCAAAGACTAAGATCACTAATTGCAGATGGGGACATTCAGAAGTGAAAGGCAGGAGATGGGAAGGGAGCAGGGGGCTTGTGAAGGGCATTCTCAATCAGCTAAGGCTCTTTAGGTGAAAGGAACAAAATCTTCCTTAAACGAGCTGAAGCAATAAAGATGACATTGGCTGACAAAACTGAAAAGAGGATTGTAGGCTTCAGGAATGATTTGATCAGGATTCAGTTCCATTTCTCTGGCGTTCTTTTGACTCCGCCCTCCTGTGCTGGCTTCATCCACCAGCTGGCTTCCTTTATGGTACCGAAAGTGGTTGTAGCAATTCCAGGCCTCCTGTCCCCACCTAGAAAAATAGCTCCCTGGTACAAGCTATCTTTCCCTTATCAGCTGTTGTAGGAGGCAGTAAAAAAAGCAGTGATCTTACAGAGAGTTAATGTTTGAGTGGAGGTCTGCAGGGAACCCACCTTAGAAAGGAATGAATGAAAGCACAAGAAGATATGGATCTTCTGGGTGTGCCTCAAGGAAATGTGATTCCTGATAAATAAAGGGAAGATTCCAAAGGATCTAAAGAAATGATACAGGTATCTGGCTGATACTCTGGCTATTAGGTTTCTCTAACAGCCCAGGCTTGGCTCCCTTCCCAGGTGATTTAAAGTGGAATCCTAATGTTATTTGTCCGCCTAAGAATTGCGGACAGATAAAGAGTGCCAGAGTGTCCCAGATGCAGTGCAGCTTGCTAGAGAAGAAATGTCCAGGAAAGTGATGACTGCAGGCCATTCATGTAACGCACCTAAGGTAAATGCATTACGAAGGGAAGAGTGACAGGAAGGGGAACAATCCAGAACTGCAGAAAACAAAACTGGATTCCGGCCCAGACAATCTGCTGCATGATTGCTGTGCTTGTAGAACAGACATTCCAACGACCCTTGGAGATACAGCCAGAAACTAGTGGGCTCTTGGCAGCAGGCACACTCGGGTGAACTGTCTTCGAGTGGACGCTATATGGAAAGCAGGCCCAGTCACGTGTTAGGCACTGAGTTGCTGTCCCCAAATAGGCCAGGTGTAACCTCTGCAGCCTCATCTTAAAAAGAACCCACAAGGGGGAAAAGAACTAAACAGACATTTCTCCAAAGACATACAGATGTCTAACAAACACATGAAAATATACTCAACATTGCTCATTATTAGAGAAATGCAAATAAAAACCACAATGAGATATCACCTCATACTGGTCAGAATGGCCATCATTAAAATGTCTACAAACAATAAATGCTGGACAGGGTATGGAGAAAAGGGAACTCTCTTGCACTGTTGGTGGGAATGTAAATTGATACAGCCACTATGGAAGACAGTAAGGAGATTCTTTAGGAAACTAGGAATAAAACTACCATATGACCAAGCAATCCCACTTCTAGGCATATACCCTGAGGAAGTCAGGGTTGAAAAAGACACATGTATCCCATTGTTCATTGGAGCACTATTTACAATAGCTAGAACATGGAAGCAGCCTAGATGTGCATCAACAGATGAATGGATAAAGAAGTCATGGTACATATCCAGAGTGGAATATTACTCAGCCATAAAAAAGGACACATTTGAGTCAGTTCTGATGAGGTGGATGAACATAGAACCTATTATACAGAGTGAACTGAGTGAGAAAGAGAAATACCATATTCTAGTGCACATATATGGAACCTAGAAAAATGGTACTGAAGTATTTATTTACAGGGCAGCAATGGAGAAGCAGACATAGAGAACAGATTTATGGACATGGGGAGAGGGGAGGAGAGGGTGAGATGTATGGACAGAGTAGCAAGGAAACTCACATTACCATATGTAAAATAGATAGCCAACGGGAATTTACTGTATGGCTCAGGAAACTCAAATAGCAGCTCTGTATCAAACTAGAGGGGTGGGATGGGGCGGGAGATGGGAGGGAGGTTCAAAAGGGAGGGCATATATGTATACCTATGGCTGATTCATGCTGAGGTTTGACAGAAAACAACAAAATTATGTAAAGGAATTATCCTTCAATAAAAAAAAACTTAAAAAATAATAACCCACTTGATGACGACGTCTCATGGTATGGAGCCCCCACCCTTCCTTCCCATTCCCACCCCCAAAGCCATCTCTGCCCCAACAAATGACAAGACAGGCCATAATAACTAATTATATTTTAAAAATAAATAGTTTCAGTAAACATTTTATTTATGTATTTTAAGGGACTGAAGAGTAAACACTTTGGCCTCATCAAAAAGTGAAAACCATCACTTCCCACTTCCACCCCTAACTCTGCCCTCCTGCAGAAGTCTGACTTTTCTCAGGCAGAGTATCTGTGCACACAGACACAGACACCCCAGGCTCACCCCGGTCCCGGCCCAAGCACCGCTGCCACGCAGGCAACTCCAATGTGCTGAGGCCAAGGCAGTGGGCACAACACACAGCATAGGGGTCTTGATTACAGAGCTCACGGCACATGAGAACTGGCAAAAACATCTTTATTTTGAGGCGATTCTTCCCAAAACCATGAGTAGAGCCAGATGCATGGCAAGGCAGCAG